AAAGGTGTGCTGAATCCAAATTAACTGTTTCAATATTGTCTTTAAGACGAGCATCGTTCATATTTTTTTCCAGAAATGGGGTTGCATTTTCTGTCTGCATTCTTGCCTTTAGGCCTGTCTACCTGCTGTTCACATGCCTGCGAGCGGTTCTTTCTCTGGCAGAGCTGGCTTTTGAGGAGCCTGGCTGCTGGACCCTGCACCAGTCCTTCTTTTGTGCCAGTGCTGCCTGAGCAGCTGGATGCTGAAATGGAGCAAGGGACCAATCAAGGGTTATAAGTAGCCTGGCCAAAAAAAAAAAAAAAAAGGTTATATTTAGCCTGGATCAGTTTGCCAAAGTAGTTTGGTGTTTGGCCAGGCATGCGGTGGTACTGGCACATCAGACAGCGTGGCGCAGGGGTGGAAGTCAATCTTGGTAGCTGCAGTCTTATCAGCTGGCATTGCTGCCAAAAGGAACGCTCACCTAACTGTACCCCTAAGAGTCTGCTAAACTTGCTAAATGTTGTTTACACCTATTTGTTACAGCTTCTCTTGCCTGAGAATGATTCCTTCAGCTTATCCTTTCTGCCAAAAGTGTTTCTCATCCCCAAACGTGTGTGCTGCATATGAAAAGAGAAGCCACGGTTAAGTGTTAGTGGGGGCAAAAAGAGGAGCGTGGCTGTTGAGTTATGGAGAATTTTCTGCTGCTTCATGGCCGTCTGATGATACAGAACATGTAGTGTAAATTGCTGATAGAATATTTAGCGTGGTTGCAATTAAGCAGCGAAACTCACGCTGTGAGAATCAGGAGCAAGAATTCAACAAGAGTTAAAAGGATCAGATGTCTGTAGGAATATGAAGAATATTCAATTATCATAATCAGTGACAGTAACAATTTTGGAAGAAGTATTAAGCCTGTGGTCTAAACCTTGATTTTATTCTGCTCTAACAGATGTGCTTCTATACTGGGAAAAGAGGGGGAGGGCAGGGGTTGTTTTGCCTGCTTTTACCATGGAGGTCTTGCACGCTTCTCTGGAAACTTTGATTGGTACCAGAATTGGAGATGTGCCTGTAAATTGCATGGGTTCTGGTTTTATCTTGGTGACCCTCCTGAAATCTGGTCTGAGATTCTAAACCGTGACCATGGTGGAAAGTGACCTGCTGCTCCCCGAGTTATGTTTGCTTCACTCCTGTTTCTGTGAGTTGTTCCCCAGAGCTCTGTTTTTCTTCTTCTGTGATGACACTCGCTAAATTTATTTTAAAGGCTGTTAGGAAATTGCAGTCTACTGTATTTTAAGAATGAGTCTTATCTGTTTCAGGTAGCTGAACGTGCTCCAAGATCCCTTGTTTTTCAGAGAGACTTAAAAGCAGAGATGTGCTGTTCCTTGCTTGGCCTCAAAGAAGGAGCTTGTGGAATAGGGAATGGAGATGAGAAGTGTCACTGTAAGGTGGCTGGTTTGTTTGTGTGCTTGTTTCTGAAGCCTGGTTGGAATCAATGAAATGCTTTTGAAGGAGAGAGAATGGCAAATATGCTTTACATGTGACACAATTTATCTCAACAAAGCAAGGCTGAGAGGTGCTGGAGCAATGTCCTCTGAGAGTTCACTGAGAATCATTGAGAATCGGGTGCCTTAGTCTCGAAAACAATAGTGATTTTAAGTGCTCCTTAGAGATTTTTGGCAACCTGTGGCCAAAAGAGAGTGTGATATATGTGATAATTTAACTGCATACGGAATGGAAGGACTGTTTGCTTCCTTCTGTATTCAGGTCGGAGTAGTTGTGATTCAGGAACATGAGCAGTTCCTCTGAGCTGGCTGTCCAGTTTGTCTGACTGTTGGGCCTTTTAAGAAAGGAGTGCCACTATATTCCTGCTGCTTACCTTGGTAGAGGGATGCCTGTGTGCATCGGCAGAGTTGGAGAGCTCAGCAACATTTGTCCATCTTGTCACTGCATGGTCCCCAAGTGCCCTTTGTACTTCTGGAACGGAGGTTGCAGGTACCTGTTTTACCTATGATACCTTTCAAAGCCAGGTGAGGTTGGATCCTGTGGTGAACTTGAGAAGAAAACCAGCCTCTTAATATGCCTGTCATTTATTGACTAGACTGTGTTACTTCCACTCCACAAAATGCTTTACATCTGCATTTCTACTTGAGTACAGCGCACGAAAGAGTTTTTGCCACCTATGTGGTGTGTATGGATTGGTGCAGAATATGATGGAATATTCTCTTTTGGTAGCTCACTGCTGAAAACCATGGGTAAGGTCAAGCAGTGGAGCCTTCTTTAGCTTACTCTTTAGCTCTACTCTCTGCATTTTGCTAAAGTGACTTCTTCAGGCATCTCGATACGGCTGTTTCTTTGCCTACAGAATTGCAGCGGTTTATCTACATACTGATCTGGTTTTGTTTAGGGATTGATTAGAGGTGTATTTGCAGTGTAATATGAGCTGTAGCCTGTCAAAGAAGGGCAGCTGCAGCTTCTGCAATTGGAGCTGTTGCAGTAGAGTTGAGGCCATCCTCGATGTGGAGGAGCTCTTCTCAGAATCCGTGCGAACAGAATTGAAATTTTCTGCAGCATTTTATGTGTATGAATGAGAAGGGAGTGAAGAATTTCAGGCTGAAATGGCTTGACAGCTTGTTAGCAAGAAAATGCTCTCTTCTGCCTCAAAAAAAAAAAAAAAAAAAAGCCCTTAACCTTCTTGTGGTTGGGGATTGAAAGTTGAAACTGTCAGGCAAATAGCCACCATCCAGGAGAAACGCTTCTGAATGTTCTTGTGAAAGGTAGCTTTGATTTGACAGTTGCAAGGCTTTGAGAATAGCACTCTGTTTATACAGTGCTGTAAATACTTTGAAGTTTTTTAGGCTTTGCTGTACATGCGTGGCTATTTAGGATAGTATTAAATGTATACATGTTGGTTGAATGAGGGAGGATTCTGCGGCGGTTGGAGTTGCATGCACTTTGTGCTTTTATAAATCACGTCAAGGCAGCAGGTTAGATAATAGGCCTGATTATAGAGTTTCTTAATTTCTTGTCAAAATAAGATTTTTGCATGCGGTGTTTTGAGATCTTCTAGGTGACCTCCCATTATTTAACAAATGTCGTTTTTTCATCCCGGCAGCTTTGATACGATCATGTAGCCTCCTGGAGCATGGTGTGCACGCTGTCTTTGCTTGTAGACTTTCTTTGAAGTGCCTTCCTCCTCAGAAGAATCATTGCTGTGCTGATGAGCTGACGTTTAACAGCTAGGAAAGCAGCACGCGGAGGCATCATGCTGGGTCACTAGAGATAGTGATGTGTGTAATGTGCCCAAGGTGGGTCTAAAAGCGGAGGAAGGAAAGGTTCAGCACAGCCTTAGTAACCTGCACGCGAGGGCTGTGGCTGTGGTCGTGTGTGCTTCACCCTGCCAACCTGCCAGGGTGGGAGAGCCGGGTGTTAGAAGGCTGCGGGAGGGCTTGTGCAGGTGAGAGAGCAGCTGGTGGTGGTGGTTGTGAAAGAAAACTGATGCTGGAAGGCAGTGAGGCTTAGGGGAGCCTTGAGACACTGCTCATCTGGGATGAGTGGGAGGCCGGGTCACTGGTCAGCTGAGGTTAGATGAAGGAAGGTATGTGGGTTTCCCCCAGCACTCCTGCCAGACCTGGGGTATGGTGTTCCCACCCAGCACACCCAGTAGCGACGGTCCTCTTTGGAGGAGGTCTGTCCTGTGCTGACCCAGCCCAGCCTCATTTAGCTTATGAAAACTGACAAGATTGCAGCCTGAGGTGTTATGCCTGAGGACTGTTTCATACCTTTCATTCTACAAGCTTGGCGAAGGGATGCCAAAATGGAACGAAAAAGCACTTGCTTTTTTTTTTTTCTCTCCTCCATTCTGAGCTGATAGGTAACTTATTTCTTCCAAGGCTTCTGCTTAAACAGTGTGGTGTTACTGCATATTGAAGAACAAAATCAATTCTCTTCAGTCTTGTATTCCTATCCGTTGTTTTCTTTCTTTTTTTTTTTTTTTTTTATTACCTGTAGTTGTTGTTCATGCTGATGTCACTATTTAAGTTTTAGAAAAAACAAATCCAGAGGAGTAGGGGAGATTGCCTCTGGCTGCAGTCCTGATAGCTTTTTGCCCCAGACAGATGTGATTTTGACAGGAGGCAAAGCTACAAAGCCTGTGGACATCTCTGGTATTATGCACTGGACTCCAGAATGTAGTGTTGACTGGTGCTAGGTCTGTTAACTGCTAACATGATGTAGAAAGCTGCAGAAGCCTGTCATATATTGGGGAAATATTGTTAAAGCATTTCTTGAGAAATCTCTGATTGTTAAAAGCTTTTGATCTTTGTCAGTGTTAACAATAGTAGCAACTCCAGAGCAGACAGGCTGCTGCTCAGGTAAGTGACACTCCGCGTAAAGTGCTTAAAACTCCAGCTGTAATGTATGAGTACAGAAACAGCTTTGTTGATGTAAGGAGAGCTGGTATCACTCTGGCAGCTATGCTGAGGATGCTGAGGCTGGTGCTAGCGGGATGCTGCAGCATATCATGGCCACGGTGCACCAAGCACCCTGGTGGCATCCCTGCCAACCTGTAGCTGCAAAGTTGGTGAAGCCATGGTGTTAACAGGAATTGTTTGCACCATAATTGTCCAGAAGCAGGTAGTTGTAGCTTTGGTGTGTTGTGGAACTGCATCAGAAATTGCAGGGAACTCCAGATGTCTGTGGACAGCTTGAATCTGCTCACCAGTGTCCATTAATATCTGTCTCCCCTGTTACTTTGTGGAGGGAGTTGTGGAAAGAGCTGTATGCAATCAGAAACTATCTACGAAAGGTGATCATCCTCCTTGTCTTAATAGCACAATGAAGTGTTTTTACAGCACCAAAAGTTTAATGGACATATTATGGACACCTTTTATGGTTTACTGGACCACTTGCCTACTGCAAAAGATTGTTTTAGAACGGTTTCTGTAAATACTCAGAGTGAATAACTACTGAAACAGCCTTTACATCAGAGCTGCTGTTATCCTTGTGCTTGTCAGAAGGAAGAGAACAGACAGTGGGCTGTTGCATTAGGAATATCATAAAACTCTATTCTCTGAAACTTCGGTTGTGATTGTGCTTTGTCAGTGGTGGTTTTGACTGTGCTTTTTGAAGATCGGAGAACGGAAGGTAGAACTTTCTGTGGCTGTCTCTACTTATTTGGAGTGGACTTCTGGGGGAGACTGGTTCTTTGGGAAACATCCATTTGGTGGTAGAAATAAGGGGGGGGAAGTGTGGAAGAAAGTATCTGTGCTATGTTAACCGAGGTGTGTGAATGTGTAGGCAGAGCTAGATCCAGTGGAATGGCACTTGTGACCACACATCACATTTGCATGGTGTGTTTTTATTTTCTTCCTTATAGTTTCAGGAAGGTTTATAGCGTGGTTGTGAAATCTTACATTAATCTGAGCTACTCAAAGGGACTTCTTTTCTTGTAGTGGCATAGTCTCCTTCTTTCTTTCTTCTTTTTTTTTTTCCCCATGTAAATGTGCTTGTAGATCATCAAGTATTGATATTGTGTGTGCCGCCTATCTTTGTGCAGACCTTTTCTCTGTGCTTCAAGGCATGGAGTTAGTTGTGAGCAGTAAGCTGCCCGTGATTTAGAGGTGAATGGAGTGGTGGATTCACAGTATGTGTGTACAACACAAGTTATTTCATCAGCCTCTTTTGGAAGTTGTAGTGAGCCTTGTCCTGTATTCATGTAGTGAAATGAATTTAGGTGACAGGATTTGGATTCTTTTTTTGATTGACACTTGCTTTTGGTGAAAGACTTATCAGCAAAGAGGTAGCGCTGTGAAGGCTTCTCTGACTTGTGCATAAGAAATTCTTGGGAGGACCTTAGGTGTGTCATCATTTTTATTGCCCAGACATAAACATGGCAAAGTCCATACTGTTTTAGGGTAGGTTAGGATGCATCTAGAAACTGGTGTTGGCTGTGAGTTGCTGTTCAGTCAGCTCAATATTAACAGGTTGGCTTTTGATCTTTGTAGAATCGCTGACTATCCTGAGTTGGAAAGGACCCATAAGGAACACTGAATCCAACTCCCAGCTCTGCACAGGACCACTGACCACCATCCAAACCCTATGTCTGAGAGCTGTGCCAAAGCACTCCATGAACTCCAGTATCTGTGGCCATGCCCACTGCCCTGGGCAGCCTGTGCCATGCCCAGCACCCTCTAGTGCAGAACCTGTCCCTAACTCCCACCTCTCCTGACACAGCTCCGTGCTGTGCCATCTTTATAAAATAATTTGTGAGTCAATTGAATTTGTAGTGTACCCCAGGTAGTGATAGAACTTGCTAGCTTTCCCAGACCAGCAGCTGGTTTGGGGTGGAATATGACCCATGGGCCACCTGAGGTGCCTCTGGTGCAAATAGCCTCTACAGTTCTGGCAGAAGGAGCATATGAGTGTGTCTTCTGAAAGACTATTGAGTTACGATGCTGGTTGTTCAGAGGACATGGCTTGCAAACAGTGCTATGGAGAGGGCGTGACAATAGTTTGCCATCTACTGATTATTTACCGGGACAAGCAGAATCATAGTATGTCCAGGTGATGTGTGTTGATCATGTGTCTCTAGCCCTGGTGTTTTGGTAGTTACCTGGTGTATTTTCTGCTCTCACTTAAGAAGTGCAGAAGAAATAGGCAGGGGAACAATGTATGAACGTTTGAACAACCAGCTGAAGCCTATCCATGCCTGCCTGCTTTATGCCAACACCAGTGAGAGTGTGGCCACCTGGTTGGCTGAAGCAGGAAGGCTGTCTGCTGAAAATTAATCCAGTCTTTTCTAGAGTTAGTTTTCAGCTGGATCACAAGTGCAAATGGTGGCTGGAAGGGATAGACTTGGATATTCTTAGACTGATAGAAGTTATTTCCTTGGCAGCAGCACGTGCTTGGCCTACTGAAGGTAGGGCAGTGTTTTGACAAGCCTATCTTTTGACAAGAATGCATCTGGGTCCAGTACTGGTTGTATTACAGATGTGTGCTTTGTCCTGGGAAAGGGTGAGAACAGCTTTTGCTGAGAGATAGGAGCAATTTCAAGTGTAGTTAAAAGTCCCTGATAAGGGCTGTATCTAGAAGTATGGACTGATCTGAGGTATTGAGAGTGTTCTGTGTCCCCACCTCAGTTGTCGTGGGGAGATGTGTGTAGTGTTGGAATACTCATATCGACTTGCCTGTTTGCTTACACATGATCTTAAAGGAGCGTGACAGCTGAATAAAAGCACTGAATAACACTTCCTGCGTCCTCCTTGTTTCCTAGTTGCACTCTTATCAGTGAGGTGTATAATCAGATACTCTGTTAAACAGCAGCTTATTAAAAAAAAGTAACGTGCAGTTCAGTTGCAAGCGTGCAGGAAAGGCAGATGTTAACCAACTGTTAAGGTGTACATGTGTGTGAAAACCAGCAATAAGTCTGGGCTCACCTTCTGTCAGCGTAGGTGTTGTCCCACTTAAGTGGTTAAATGAGGATGGGGGAAATAGGATGTGCCCTTCCCAGCCAAATTGTGCGAAAGGAGCTGGTGCGTTCATTCATTGCCTTAGCCCATCTCTCCAGTCACATGGGGAACCCAGTGGTGGATGCACGCATTTCTTCCTGGTGGCAGCAGCTCAGACTGCTGCTGATGCCACTGCTCTCGGTCCCTCCCGAGGCTACAGCTCTTTGCAGAGCAGTCTCTTAACTCCAGCTGCTCTCTCATCTCTTTCCTGCTTCACTACCCCAGTTACAATTCAGGGTGCTGGCTCAGCTTGCATTCAAAGTCATCGCTTGTTTTCAATAGCAGCAGGCTTCTAGCCTTTTTCTTTTTCCATGCTGGTTTTGGGCTTTTGCCACCCTTGGTCCAGCACAGATTGACAGCCTCAGAAAGGCAGTGTGGGGAAAAAAAGAGCTGCACTCTTTCTTGTACGCTAAAAGGTTTCTTGCCTTTAATGCTTCGTGTCACAGTAAGGCCATAAGTTTGATACTTTCATCTACTTGGTATGCCTTTATTTCATCTCCACATTCTCCTCCTCAAAGAGGGAGAAAAGACTGAAGTGAATCAGCGATAGCTACAGCTGTTCCTGCTGAAGCAGCCACAATGCTGTACACCTCCAAGTACCTGGCCACTTGTTGCTGTCAAGCAATGCAAGCCCTGCTTCTGCAGTCTGAGGGCACAAAGAGGGAGCAAGCTACTTTGTGTGGTTTGTTTTTTCTTCTTTTAACTTCTGTTTGCATCTCAGTAATATGGTGGTTAGTTCACAGAAGATGGTTCATGAGTAAGTTACTGTTAGGTAAGATGAGTATCTATGTCTTGTTAGTTACTCAGTAGTGGCTGCTTGTGTGCATGCTCTCACCTTATTGCTGAGAAGCAAGTTGTCTTACACCGGCCGTGGGCTAAGACTGTGCTGGTGAGCAGCAAAGGGAAGTAAACTAGAAGGTGGCGTTACCTTGCAATAACCTTCTATTTTATACCTCATAATGCCAAGTTGAACTTGAATGTTTCAAGCAACAGAGCTCCAGCCGTTTCTTCTGATAGATTCTGTCCACCGTGATGCGTGCTGGTGTTTGTGCTTTCTCTTTTAAGGGAAAGGGTGAATTTGTTGCTGTGGTGACAGCAGTGTGTCAGTATAGGCACTGACATGGCACTGCCAGCATTGTTGTCTTGGGTGGGGAAAGGGAAGAAGCGATAGGAGGAGGTAATTGGAGTCAGGGATCATTGTGCTGCTGTAGTACGTTTTGCTGGATGAGGCAGCTTGTTGCAATAGGTATTTGTTTCAGTTTCTGTCTGCAGGTGTGACTTAGCTAGATAAGGATGGTCTATCACGTTGATGATTTCATTGTTTGATTTGGCTGGATTGAGTGGAGAATGTAGCTCCATTGTTTGGGACCAGCATTGTAGTTTGGTTTTGTTGAAGTGTATTACACGGCAAGGTATTGCCTCATTATTAAGGTGAAGCTGCAGTAGATAACAGTTGGAGAACGTTGGAGGGAAGGGGACATGCAGAGTGTTTCACAGTGCACACTGAGCCTCACAGCAGCTCCTGTGCTCCCGTTGGAGGGATCTGGTCAGCAGAAGAGACTGAGGTAGCACAGAAAAAACACTGGTAGCTCTTTTGGCGTGCAGTCACACTAAATGCAAGGCTATCTGCTGGTGTAAGCACGGGGTGCTCAGAGAGACTGTGTTGGCTCTGACAGTTCGGATGCTGTCTGGCTTCATACTGCTCCTGCAGCCTCTCTTGTTTTCAGAGTGGTTGAAGGAGAAGAAGCTGGCAGGTAGCTAGCTGATCTTTCTTTACTGACCTCAAATTTACTATTGAGTTGCTCCTCAAAGTCTGTTTCCCTGTGTCAATATGTTTTCAGGCACTTGTGTTTTCTTTGAGATGTGGCTGAGCATTACTGTTGGAGGGTTGTCTCCAGTACTGAAAGTGTGGCTCTTAGCCTATGAACTCCTTTGACCTACAACCGTAGTGCAAAAGGTCCTTTCTGCACTTCTCACAAGCAAACTTCAGGGCTGTCTTACACAGAAAGGTTTTGGCGTGAGTTCCCTTCTCCCCGGAGCATAGCACAGTGACATGGAATAAGGGCTGGTAGAACAGCAGGTTGTGCATCTTCCTTCTAAAACCTGCCTGGTTCTCCCCTAGATGTGGTGGAGCCGTTAGCTGGCTTTACCTGATACTTCATGTTTTTATTTATGGCTTTTGTGGATGTGGAGGAGGTTTTGTATGGAGCATAGAGGTTTGGCTGGACTCGCAGTGAGGGGAAAGTAAGCTTTTGAAGAGGAATGGGTGCAGAGAAAGGGGAGGTTGCTCATATGAGCCTTGTGCCAGCTTCTCAGAGCACAGATGAGCTCATGGGAATCCAGCAAGCTTAAATGTGGGAGTGTTGAAGCAGGTCTGAGCTACCTCCCCTCTTCACATCCTTGTGCCACAGGCTTCTTCAGATGGTTCTAGTCTGACGATGGCGTTTTTGCTTCTGATGAATGTTGCCAGCCTAGGCAAAGGCTCTCCCCATCAGTGATTGAGAGCAAGTTTTGATTCGTCTGCTTCTGGAGCTAGGTGCAGGGAAGGAAGGGGTGGCAGCTGGCTGGGCTGCGTGTTCTTGTTGCTGTGTTGCTGAACTCTGCCTCTCTCCTTGTTTTCAGGTGATCATTGCTTGTGAGAGGAGTGGTTTGCACCTCATGGCCTCCACAATGAGTACTGCTGTGTCGTGACGCCAGGGGTCTTGGTAAGCTACTTGAGGGAAAGGGGAGGGCCTTTAATGTTTCCACAAACATGGATACAGCCCTTTTGTCTCCGAAATTGATGTTTGAAGTCCTTTTAAGCCATCCAAAGTGCGAGCTGCCTCCAAGTTGGGTGAGGCTACTTTTCGCCTGTTCTCGCCTCCTCCTTTGAGCTTGCAGTGGCACTGTTGTGGTTGCATCATCAACCAGATCAGGGGAGACTGATCCAGCTGAAAGGAGATTTCTCCTGTTTGCCTTGGGTTGATTCCCATTCAGATATTCCCCTGATCTGGTCAGGAGAGAGGTGAGAATGAGCAGATAGTCGAACCACCCTGGCATGCCTTTAAGCAATCCTGAAAATACAGCCTCAGATGCAGCTTGCCAAAATACTTCGAAAAGTTGCTTCACCATTCACCATCAATGACCCTACCTTTAATTTTAAAGCAGTGATAAGGGCTGTGCTATGCCAGGCAGAATCCAGCTGTAAAAATGCATTTCACTAGAGATTTTCCGTTGTTGGGCCCTAGTTTTCCAGACAGACGTATGTTAGAAGTACATTTAGAAAAATCATGAGGCATTCAATTTCACATTATAAAACATGGCATGTTCCCTGTGTACAGTGTACCATTCTGGTAGATGGAAAATATGCATATAGTATAAAATGTAGGGTTAAAAAAAAAAAAAAAAAAAGAGTTTTTAATTTCCCCTGTGAAGTACTTGTAAGTTTGGTGATGTCAGAAATCTTGTATGGGCAGTGTGGTCATGATTCTGATCTTCAGTGTTTTTCTATTGCACTGGGAATCTGAGATAATTCTCATCTTGCTGTAAGAGGTAACATCGTAATGCATAAGTATTGAAAGTGGAAGAAAAGCAGAGGAAGAAACAACTAGAATGCCTAAAGTCCATCACTCAGGCACTCCTATGCTTCTTTTAGATTGAGCTCAGCTCATTTTAAAGCTGTTGTTCCTATTCACTTCTTTTTTTTAAACATGAAATTCGCTGTATTTTCAGTCACACCTTCACCTTCTCTAGAATCACTGACTTTTACTGATGCATAAATCTCTTCTGAAAAGCGGCATTAGGTGCTGTTGATAATGCCACAGGTTTGTTTTCAAAACAGTTGTAGTAGAATCTGCACGGGAAGCTGGAACCATTTAGTTACTTAGGAAGATGTTTTCTTTTGTCTTCAGTGTGTAGGTATTGCAGCAGCTCCAATTACAGCATGATAGTGGTAACAGCGGTAATAGAGTAACACAACATTGTTCTCAGAATCAATGGGCTAACCAGTTTAAAGCCCCAGAGAGGCATGTGGATCTTGTGGAGTGTGCAGCTCAGGCTGGAGTTCATCTGATTGTGCCTAGTGAGAGGCAGGACAAATGAGGCCGTTACTGCAGAAACATGCCCTGTGTTAATGAGTTGTGCAGCGCAGCGGAGGTAAGACTATGGAGCAGGCTTCTTGGTGAAGGAGGTACATAGCAGAGAGGAGAATTTTTGGAGGTGATGTTCCTCGTGGAAGGATCGCAGTGTAGAGAGCTGCCCTGTTAACATACAGCAGTGCAAAGTCACTAAGAATTGTAATGGCACAACCTCACAGCAAGATCATTTGGGGAACTGGAGAACTCAGTAACACAAGTTACCACTAACACTTGTTGGCTAAAGGTGGTCATATAGTACCAGAATTTCTTAGTCCTCTCATGTCAACGTATAAGCAAACCATTTTTTTGCTTTTTAAATACAATTCAAGTGGTAGTTTCTCAATAATACATATTCAGCATACTCCCTTTCTGATGAGACTTATTTTGTTTCATCTGATACATACAGAAAGAAACTGCTTCTTCTTTGGTGCTGGGAAGGAATACCAGGAATATTTACATTTGAATAATGTTTAACTAGCAATGCTTAATACATTAACAATAAATCTTGGTTAGATTCTAAATTAAGTGGATTTGCATCTGAGTAGATGAGATGAAGAGATTCTGTTGAAACATAAACAAGACAGAGATTTGTTCCAAAATAATCTAGCCCAAAGGATGTAAACCATAATGTTCAATAGTTTCCTCCTTCAGAATCAGTTCTGTGTGCCGTGTTGCTTGCATCATGAGTGTTTAATTGGTAATAAGCTGAAAAGACACTTATTTTGTTGTGTGCTCCTTCTTGTTGTTTGTTTATTAGCATCTCAATAGTTTGTACCTTGTTGCCGAGCAAATTTTAGAGGGACTGCGCTCTAGTGATCTTTTGGCCTTTCTAGTAGGAAATAATGACTGACTAACTTCTCTGGTATTTACAGAGTAATCACAGCATAGCTGGTTGCTTACAGGTGGACAGGAAGGCATTTTATTTTATTTTCCTCCCTCTGTGCAACTCCTAGCACACATCACTGAACATATGTCTGGTTATATTGGACCAAGGAGACAGAAAAGATTTGAGCAGAGTTTATGTTCTTAAGAAATATCAGATTACGGCCATTCATGGGGGACTTCTAGATAGCTAAGTCATGATGGGGATTTGTAATTTTGGCTTCCTGCTGACTTGCTCTGAGGTGTCTTCATGCTGAGCGCAGAGATGGAATCAAAGCATGCAGGTATGAGAAGCTTCCCTGCTTTATTGTCTCCAGAGCCGTTTGCTTTGGATGAAGGGAAGCTGGCCTCACTGCCTGTAAACTGAACGGCCAACCAGGGCTGCCTCTGTTTGAAATACACAGACAGCTGTGCTGAGCCATCTGAAAGCTCTTCTCCTGCGTCTTCTCAGTAACGGGGAAGGACTGCCATTTACTGCTTCGCATCAGAGACATCTGCTTGGAAAGCTCCTCACCGGATTTCTGTTCTCTTCTTGTGGGATGGTTTTAACAGTGTGCCCTGGAGATGCGAGACTTCCCCTGGGCAGCAGGAGGCACGCGTCTAGAGAATGCTGGAGCTGCAGGAGGGAAGCACCCCGTGCAAAACCAGAGAGGAGCAAAGAGAAAAAAGGCAAGCAGACAGACAGCACTGAGAGAAGCGGGTGGCAGAAAGTGCTACAGAGCTGCCTCTGGCGGCACAGTCCCCAGAGGAACTTGACGAGAGCCCATCTGCGTGCGTGTGAGACAGCTCAGGATTTCTGTCAATGCATTCCAGTAACCCCAAAGTGAGGAACTCCCCGTCAGGCAACACACAGAGGTAAGGAAAACAGCCTGCTGGCTTGGTGCATGGTGCTGTCCCTGCTCTGTTGTGGCGTTAGCCAGACTGATGCATGTGACTTACCGATCTTCCTCTGCGCTCTTGTTGGGCAGCTGTGCAGTGCCAATGTGCCTCCACGTTTGCCAGGCTCAGAGTGAACCGAAAGAGCTCTAAGCTCATGAAGTTTGGATTCTGTGCTCCTCATGGCCTCCTCCCTTCCATCAGGCGTCTAAATAGGTTGTAGGAGAGCGGTCATGCTGTTTCTATCTGTGTTCTTCCCTCCATCCCCTTCTAATCATCTGTTTTCCCTAGGGGTGGTTGGACAGCGGGAGGTCTCTCTGCCTGTATTTTCACACAAAATGCTTCCTTCTTATTATGTGCCTGAACTGAATGGCCTGGAGAACTGATCAGCTGTGCGCTGAGGTCCTCTGTATCATTCACCTGCTGGTGTAGCAGGTCAGCATCTCTCCTCTGCTAATTTGGAAGGGAAAAATATGGAAGTGAAGCAGCGTCCAGGGACTTGCGATGTTCTGATTGACAGCATTTTCAAGTTTGATTATTTACTCCTAGAGGTGATGTGGAGCTTTACAGTAACTCAGAGGAAATACCTCTAATTCAGATGTCTGTCCAAAGGAAGAAATAGCATGTGCGAGTCCCTCGGTGGGGATGCTAGCGAACGCTGCCTATTGGAAGTGGCACTGATGTTAAGAAAACCGAATGCAGTAGAAATGGACTAACTGGAGGCAGAGGAGGAAAGGATGACTGATACATGGGTAAAACCTAGAGGATCAAAATATTTTTAGGATGCAATTGACTGGATGGAGGAGGGGAGGAGAACACTCTGAATATCCTTCAGCAAATGAAAGAAGCTTCATTTGCCCTATTTCAAAGGAGTGTGCAGGGTGATAGTATCCTTCTCTTTCTTTATTCAGAAGCAGGTTGTAGCTGGTTTAATTGTTTTCACAGTCAGAGATTTGTGTTTTCCTGGCGGCTCGCCCCGATGTATGATGAATGCTGCAGTAATGCTGGGTTTTCCTTGTGCTCCCTGTAGAACTGGATAGGGAGGTGCGTGGCGGGGGGGGGGGGGATCTGCTCAGATCAAGGCTACACTGTGTAATTTGGGTCCGTGAGAGCAGTGAGGTGAACTTTATTGTGCTGTGTTTGTTTACTCTGAGCTGGTCTTGGTGTGAGGCGCTTCTCTGTGCACATAGAAACCGTTGTCTTTATTGACAGAAGCCCCAGAGGTAGGTCCTCATGTGACAGCAGTTCCTGGGATCTGGCAGGTCTGTAGCTTGCTTTTGTGTCTTCTTGAGCAACGAGATCCCATCTTGGATAATGACCCTTTCAGGGCATGTTCAGAAAACCACCTGGATGACTCTAAGCTTGCAGGCATTTCTTATTTGTCAGCAGTTGTCTTTAGCTTGCAAAGGTGGCAGAGATTGTGTCTACTTTCTGTTCCCACAGGGTTGAATGAATCCATGGAGTGATTTGTCACTTTCTTTTTATTTTTTTTTTTTAATTTTTTTTCCTTTTTTTCTTCTGCCCCCAGTAGCCCCAAATCAAAGCAGGAGGTGATGGTCCGTCCCCCTACAGTGATGTCCCCATCTGGCAACCCCCAGCTGGATTCCAAGTTTTCCAACCAGGGCAAACAAGGGGGCTCGACCAGTCAATCCCAGCCCTCTCCCTGTGACCCCAAAAGTGGAGGTCATCCCCCGAAAGTGCTCCCTGGCCCAGGTGGGAGCATGGGGCTGAAGAATGGGGCTGGAAATGGTGCCAAGGGGAAGGGAAAGAGAGAGAGAAGCATTTCAGCAGACTCCTTTGAACAGAGGGAAGCTGGGACTCCTAATGACGACCCTGAAATCAAAGGTATGTTTGCTAGGATATGTGCACAACTACAGACAATTGGTGTGCATCGTCTGTGAGATGGAGAATTGCTATGCATGTGTTTCCAGCCAAAGATGTCTAAAGGTCTTGAGAGCAAGTAGAGAGGGGATGCCATAGCTGACATCAGTAAGCATGTCCTCTTGTTCATGTTAAGTTGAAGTGCAGACCCAACTCTGGTAGGAAAGTTCCTTTGTAACTCTGAAACTCCCCCGAGGATTTGAAAGTACAAATACAACCTGTTGGTTTCCTTCTGGCTTTTGGCCTTCCAGGAACTACTCTGTTGTAACTGGGGTTTTGAACGATACGCAAGCCTGTTTTGTCAACACAGATACATAGCCTGTAGCGCCCTGACTGGTAACACAAACCAGAGAGTTGGGATTTCTGCATTCTGTTCCTGGCTTCAAGTGTTGTCATTGTAAGGTGGTGTGAAAATAGACAAGTCATTTGTCCATCTTTCATTTATTTCATCTGTTTGCTAGGTCGGTCTCCTGGCTAAGGTGACTGGAGGAGGAGGGAAAAGCAGAGTTTGTCGCAGTGCTCTCCTTGAATGCAGACATTTTTATATTTGCACATTTTAGTGTGTAGTCTTCCTGCTGTTCTCTGTGGCCATTAGAGATTGCAGAGATCAGCTCTGGGAACTGCTACTTGTCTTAGAATGTGACAAGATGAGCTTTCCCCAGCAGTATCTCTAGGGCAGCATTGCATTAAAGGGAAGGGGCATGGTGTAATAAATGGATTGCCTTGATTAGTGCTTGGTGGACAAGCAGGAAACTTCAGAGGAAGATAAACTCTGTCAGTTTGCAAATGTGAACCAGAAACGGTTTTGGGAGAGGTGCCAAGATGTGATTTCTCCTCTTCTTTCCTCTTTCCAGACTGCAATTCTGCTGATCATGTGAAGTCCCAGGATTCTCAGCACACACCGCACTCCATGACTCCTTCAAATGCTTCAGCCCCAAGGTCTTCCACACCTTCCCATGGCCTGACTGCTGCTTTGGAACCAGCAAGTGGGCAGAAGACTCCATCCAAAGTGGTTTATGTCTTTTCTACTGAGATGGCCAACAAGTAGGTAGATGCTTGAATGTCTTCAGGCAGAGGGGCTTATATTTTTATTCCCTTTTCATGAAACTCTCAGGTGTCCTTTCTCTGTCATGTGTGTTTTTGTAGCAAAAAAAGCAATGCTAAGTGTTTTGACGGTGCGTCCCCGGTTGGTGTGGGGAAGAGGCCTCTTGCTCTCTGAGAAGTAATGATATATTCCTATGGGGTGCATTTTTGGCAGATGTCAATAAGATATTGATTTGCAATCCACACAGCAAGTATAAGCTGGAGTGACTTAAACCTAGGTGTGACCCCTTAAGAGTTTTTGAGTTCGTAGATGTAAGTATTTTCCTTTTGCTGCTTATCTGATATCAAATATGTGGGGTTAAGTCTTTTATCCTTCTGCCAGCTGAAAGGTGAAGGATGCTGATTAGGAAAGTTTGATTCTTAGCTTCAACTGGATATGTGTGTCTGTCTGTCTATCTTTGCAGGGCTGCAGAAGCCGTGCTGAAGGGACAGGTGGAAACCATTGTGTCCTTTCATATCCAAAACATCTCAAACAGCAAGGTGGAACGAAACACTGTACCCTTGGTAGGGAGCTGCCTGCAAGTGGGTGGGAAGGGAAATGTTAAGTGTGTTTGTGCATGTGTGATTCAGAGAGATGGGTGATGCTCTGAAATAAGTTTTAGGATGGAAAAGAGAGAGATGGTTGTTCTGCAAATAAATGTCTTGAATTATCCAAAGGAATGTTTATCTTGCAATACTTGGGTAGTGTATTTCCAACCCATCGATCATGCAGAGCTAATGCAGAAGGAAGGGGTACCTGCTGTAACCCTTGAGCAAAAATATTTGGGTTTTTTTGTTTTGTTTTTTTTTTTACGGCCAAAATGCTGCTCTGTAAATGCCTTTTACAAGGACGCTACCCTTCCTTGCAGAGCCTGGGCTGGTGGGGTTATGACAGGACATTGTTATTGGCACCTCTGCTTATGTGGCACAGCTGTAAGAAGAGAGTGATGGCACGTGGCTTTCTCTTTCAGAACCCCCAGATCAATGCACTTCGGACTGAACCCAAACCCCTGCCGCAGCCACAGCCCCCTACTGCCCAGGACCAGAACCCTCCTCAGAACGCCAAAATGCAGCCGACTGCACCTGTGTCAGCACCAGTATCCAAATCCACTGGTCCCCCGTGTCCCATAGACCAGGACAGTCCCAGTGTGGAAAGCAAAGTGATGTCTGTGGGCAGCCCTGCCAACTCGACCCCGCTGCAGACAGAAGGATTTGGGCAGAGTTCAACCCCCAATAATCGAGCAGTTAGCCCCGTTTCCCAAGGTAGCAATAGCTCTGCTGCAGACCCCAAAGGTCCTCCCCAGCAGGTGTCTGGTGGGGACCCATCCAGTTTGGGTGAGAATCCAGATGGACTGTCGCAGGAGCAGCTGGAACATCGAGAGCGCTCATTGCAGACCCTGAGAGACATACAGCGCATGCTCTTCCCTGATGAGAAGGAGTTTGCTGGAGGGCAAAGCGGAGGGCCACCTGCAAATTCTGGGGTGATGGATGGGCCCCAAAAGAAACCTGAAGGGCCAATACAGGCCATGATGGCACAATCCCAAAGTTTAGGCAAAGGGTCAGGGTCTCGGACAGATGGAGGGGCTCCGTTTGGCCCTCAAGGACACAGGGACATGCCCTTTTCCCCAGATGAAATGGGGCCACCACCAATGAACTCCCAGTCGGGACCTATAGGCCCAGACCACCTGGACCACATGACTCCTGAGCAGGTGGCCTGGCTCAAGCTGCAGCAGGAGTTCTACGAGGAGAAGAGAAGGAAACAAGAGCAGGTTGTTGTGCAGCAGTGTTCCCTGCAGGACATGATGGTCCATCAGCACGGGCCTCGTGGGGTTGTCCGAGGCCCCCCTCCTCCCTACCAGATGACCCCCGGGGAAGGCTGGGGACCTGGGGGTCCAGAGCCCTTCCCTGAAGGCATGAACATGTCACACTCTCTGCCCCCCAGGGGTATGGCCCCTCATCCTAATATGCCTGGGAGCCAGATGCGCCTGCCTGGTTTTGCAGGAATGATGAACCCTGACATGGAGGGCCCCAGTGTCCCAAATCCTGCCTCTCGGCCGGGGCTTTCAGGAGTCAATTGGCCAGACGATGTGCCAAAAATCCCAGATGGCCGAAACTTCCCTCCTGGCCAGGGTGTCTTCAGTGGCCCTGGCCGAGGGGAGCGGTTCCCCAACCCGCAGGGCCTGCCGGAAGAGATCTATCAGCAGCAGCTGGCTGAGAAACAGATGGGCCTCCCTCCTGGCCTCAACATGGAAGGCATCAGGCCTGGCATGGAGATCAACAGAATGATCGCCTCCCAGAGACACATGGAGCCTGGGAATAACCCCATCTTCCCTCGCATGCCAGTGGAAGGGCCGATGAGCCCCTCCAGGGGGGACTTCCCAAAAGGAATGCCCCCCCAAATGGGCTCTGGCAGGGAGCTGGAGTTTGGGATGGGCCCTGGTGGCATGAAGGGGGACATGGGCATGAATGTCAGCATGGGCTCCAACCCACCCCTGGTACCTCAGAAGTTGAGGGAGGCAGGAGTTGGACCGGAAGAGATGATGAAACTGCGACCGGGTGTCTCGGAGATGCTCTCCTCTCAGCAGAAGATGGTGCCGCTGCCGTTTGGGGAGCACCCGCAGCAGGAGTATGGCATGGGTCCCAGGCCTTTCCTTCCCATGTCTCAGGGCCCGGCAGTTGGTCTCCGAAACCTCAGAGAACAGATAGGGCCTGACCAAAGGACTAACAACCGGCTCAGCCACATGCCGCCACTACCTCTCAATCCCACCAGTAACCCTAATAGCCTCAACACTGCTCCCCCTGCGCAGCGCAGCCTGGGCCGCAAGCCCTTGGATATCTCCGCAGCCGGTCAGGTGCATTCTCCAGGAATCAATCCTCTGAAGTCTCCCACCATGCGCCAGGTCCAGTCTCCCATGATGGGGTCTCCCTCGGGGAACCTCAAGTCTCCTCAGACGCCCTCCCAGCTGGCAGGAATGCTCGCAGGCCCCACCGCCGCAGCTGCCGCTGCTTCCATCAAGTCCCCCCCGGTCTTGGGGTCTGCTGCTGCTTCTCCTGTCCACCTCAAGTCCCCGTCTCTCCCTGCACCTTCTCCAGGATGGACTTCGTCTCCGAAGCCTCCTTTGCAGAGCCCTGGCATCCCCCCGAATCACAAGGCGTCTCTCACCATGTCTTCTCCAGCCATGCTGGGGAACGTGGAGTCAGGTGAGTGTTGCCTTTTCCAGCCCGGCCCGGCTCTTTGGCTTCGATGGGTTATCCAGAGGTTTGGAGAGGGCTCTTGCATGGGTGTCAGGGTGAGGGATGGTCTTTGGGAGGACAGTGGAGTGAAAGGGTACTCCTCGGTGTCTTTGGGCTGTTGGTGGCACATGCCATCCACAACCTTGCAGAGGAGCAGGCTGTACCCTGCAGCCAGGCTCCAGGCGCGGAAGCTCTTTCCAGCCTGGAAAGATCTTGCTGAGAGCCGGCCGGAGGCTGGGAGAGGCTTGCCCACGTTGCCCTCTAGTGCTGCCGTGGGTAACAGCGCTGCAGAGGCTCGGCTGGGACGTGGCTGGTGAGACTGGAATCTCCAGCAGCAGTGGTGACAGGCAGGGTGACCCCTTACATCACATGAGCAGGGCTGCTGGCTATGTCTCTGTGCCATGGGCTGTGCGGTAGGGGAGCCAGCCTGGCTGTTGGTGTCTGCCCAGCACGAGCTGCAGCTCCTGCAAGTCGGAACCAAATGCTTCAGTCTGCGCCTGAAGGATGCTTTTATATCTAATGCTTTCAAAGTGGAAATGTTCTGACACTGCAGGATTTTTGTCTTCTCTGTTCTGTCTTCCCTCTTCTGGGGTGGGCTGAAAACGTGCAGTGAATTTTGAGGGATGGTACAACTTTGATTTAGCGTCTTTCCTTCAAATGTGTTCTGAGGGGTGCAGAATTCATTGCTAAAGAACAAAGGAGGTTGGAAGTGCAGATATTTCTAATTTTGGGAGGGCGAAGGATTATGTTAAGCCAATAGGTACTGGAATGAGCAGTGAACATATATACATGTATAAAATTAAAAGTGAAATTTGAAGGGGTTTTGTTTGTAGCTCCTAATGTATCTTGTCAGAAATCTGCCCGTGTTTCTCAGCATAATCTGCTACATCTCTTCATTGCACTGCATATTCTCTTATGCTTGTTAGATGCCTCCTAAAGAAAAAGAGAAAGGCATTACAGTTGACACTTGGTGGGTGCAGGAACAATTAATTGACCGTGTTTTCAGTTTGGATTTCTGTGACTAGATGTGGTACATACATCTGTCTTTAGTGCAAGGAAGTCAAATTGTATGTAGGATTTGCAGACTTACCTGATCATTCTTGTGGATTTGTTCAGGCTCAGGATAGTTACAGTATAGTGTAGGATAACAAATGTTAACCGTCTTGACTGACTGATAGGCTTATTTTTCTGGTTACCTTGCACAGGCATTGACTGCAGTAGTCAGATGGTCTCCTGTAATAAAAGAGCTTTCTAGTTTTTGAGCACTCTTGAAGAAGAAACCGTGAAAAGATTTTAAAGAAAATTTCCCCTCCTCTTTTCCTAAGGTGGTCCACCTCCTTCCACCGTCAGCCAGCCTGCTCCTGTGACTCTCCCTGGAAATCTTCCCTCTAGCAGTCCTTACACAATGCCTCCAGAGCCGACCCTCTCCCAAAATCCTCTCTCCATTATGATGTCCAGGATGTCCAAATTTGCCATGCCCAGCTCAACACCGCTCTATCACGATGCCATCAAAACTGTGGCCAGTTCAGATGATGACTCCCCTCCTGCACGCTCCCCAAACTTGCCTCCTATGAACAGTGTACCAGGTAAGAAATTCAAGGGAACATAAGCTCAAGCTGTCAGACAGCACAGTGGGGATTTTTATGGAAGTTTAATCAGATGAAGATGGTGAGAGGTAAAACCTTGAAGGATGTAGAGCCATGGGTTGTTTTCAGGGAAGGCAGTTGCAGTTCTCTGAAGTGGAGAGATGGGAGTTCTCCTTGCAACTAGTTTTTCTGACTGGAAAGTGTATTTTCTTTGTAAAGCATCTAAACTAGGAAACTGTTTGTGTATAGGAGAGATTTCAACACGGGTTGAGGGAAATTACTTGTGCGAGTGAAAGCTGCTCATGGGGGTAATTGCCAGACCTACAATGTACTATCCAGAGAAAACTCTTCTTCCTTTGTCTTCTTCAGGCAGTGTCACAGAAGCTTCACAGAGTTGTTTTGTTGCTGACACTGAATCATCTGGTCTCTTCTCCTCCACTATGTTTTATGTATTGCCTTTGTTACAGAATAGAGTGTTAAAGCAGTTTCTCAAAATTTACTCATACTTGGTGTGCATGTAATGATAACCTCAGCTGGGATTGAGGGAACTGTCCTGGTACCTACTTGAGAGGGTGGGAGGGAAGGCAAAATAAAATGCTGTTCTTTTGGGCTTTCTCGTGGATCAGCATGTTTATATGATAAATCCAATTTCTGCTGACAGTTCTGTGATGATGGGTACGAGTTTATTAAATACAAAAGTAGCTTGTAGCCCCTCCACCCACTTGAATTAATACAGTTGAAAGAGAGGATGACTGGATGTTTGAAGAGAGTGGCAATTAGTAATGAATTCTTGATGAGTTTACCTGTAGCTATGCCATTTGTTTCACGCAGTAGTAATGAGAATTGCTAAATATACTTGGGAAAGCTGGCTTACCTGAGTCAGTTTGATGATAGCTCACTGATCTCCACTGTCTAGGCTTTGCGAGCATTATCTCATTCATCTCTTCTTAGGTTTTGAAAGGACGTTGTCACCTCCTCCTGGTGGACAAATGTCCATATCTTGGTAATCTGCCACAGACACGTTTGTCACCAACTGCCTGAGCTAGAGTGCCAGGAAAATAGTAAAAGTACAAGATGGATTGAGAGGCTACTTACAGAGCAGGCTTTAGTTCCTTTTTGATAGAGCAGAGACAAAGTTAGATAAACTGATGTGCAAGTGGCATCAATTTTCTGGTTAAAATATCACTCTCCAGAGCCACTACTGATGCTTTTTTTTATTAGCAATGATTTTTTTTTTTTTTTTTTTTAAATTCTTTTTCGTGTGTGTGTGTGTTCGGACTTGGTAACCATGCAGAAAGCTCTCTGATATCTTTGTTATTCGTTTATTGTTGGCTGTAATCTAAATCCGATTCCTTATTTCTTCCCTAGGAATGGGCATTAATTCTCAGAATCCTCGAATTTCAGGTCCAAACCCAGTGGGTCCAATGCCAACCCTTAGCCCCATGGGAATGACCCAGCCTCTTTCCCATAACAACCAGATGCCCTCTCCAAATGCTATGGGACCCAATATACCTCCTCATGGGGTCCCCGTGGGACCCGGCTTGATGTCACACAACCCGATGATGGGGCACGGTTCCCAAGAGTCTCCAATGGTACCTCAAGGACGCCTGGGCTTCCCACAGGGGTTCCCTCCTGTACAGTCTCCTCCACAGCAGGTGCCGTTCCCACACAACGGGCCCAGCGGTGGACAAGGCAACTTCCCAGCGGGAATGGGTTTCCATGGAGAAGGACCTCTGGGGCGTCCCACCAACCTGCCCCAAAGTTCGACAGATCCAGCACTTTGCAAGACTGGAGGCCCTGGTGGTCCAGACTCCTTCACTGTTCTCGGAAACAATATGCCTTCGGTTTTCACTGACCCAGAGCTGCAGGAGGTGATCCGTCCTGGAGCCACGGGAATACCTGAGTTTGACCTGTCCCGGATTATCCCATCGGAGAAGCCCAGCCAGACGCTACAGTATTTCCCTCGCGGAGAGGTGCCAGGCCGCAAGCAACCGCAGGGCCCCGGGCCCGGGTTCTCCCACATGCAGGGAATGATTGGAGAGCAGACCCCGCGGATGGGACTAACGTTGCCTGGCATGGGGGGCCCCGGGCCAGTGGGAACTCCGGATATCCCCCTTGGGACGGCTCCGTCCATGCCGGGTCACAACCCGATGAGGCCGCCGGCCTTTCTGCAGCAAGGCATGATGGGGCCGCACCATCGCATGATGTCACCAGCACAAACAGCAATGCCTGGCCAGCCTGCGCTAATGAGCAACCCTGTGGCTGCCGTGGGCATGATCCCAGGCAAGGACCGAGCCCCCGCCGGGCTGTACAGCCACCCGGGCCCTGTGGGGTCACCTGGGATGATGATGTCAATGCAGGGCATGATGGGACCCCAGCAAAACATCATGATTCCCCCCCAGATGAGGCCCCGAGGTATGGCTGCTGATGTTGGCATGGGAGGATTTAGCCAAGGCCCTGGAAACCCAGGGAACATGATGTTTTAAGCTGCTACCGTAAGACTGGATGTTCCGATCCTTGTCAAGATGAGATTCCAAGTCCTGAGGGCTTTTTTGGGAGCTTCAGGAGTACAGTTTGGCCATGCAATAGGTGAAAAGAGACCAGAGAACACTTTGGGAAATCTCGAATGTATGGAATTACCTGAAAAAAAATTATTCATTTTAACAGGTTGTTTTTTTTGTTTTTTTTGTTTTTTTTTTAAGATTTATTTTTTAAAAATTATTTTTGTGGACTTGGGTATCCCGTGATGGCACCTGCTTTGAGAATCTGTAGCTGTATTTTGAGAATTGCCATTTGTCACAAGTTGCACCATTCTCTGTATGTTTACGTCCTTTGGACTGGCTTCTCCCAGGACTCTCAGTTATTTTGTTATTTTTTTTTTTTTTTGTGTACTGTACTATATTGTAAAAGGGATTTTAGCAGAGACTTTAGTCTTTGGGGTGAGAGGAGAATGGGATTCTAGGCTGTTTACTTTAGGTGGAGAATCCATCTTCAGAACTTCGGACTATTTTCCTTCAACTCCAATGTATAGAAAAACCAAACTACGACCTCAGAGCAGAGTATTAATGAAAAGCACAAAAAGGAACTTAAGTTCAGTGAGGGGAATCTTTTAAAAGAAATAAATAATAAGTTAAGGACATATTTTTCAAATTATGGCGTGCTGTCCAGCACCTTCTGTCTCTCCCTCCCACTCTTTATTAAATAGGCTTCTCTCTCTCTCCGTCCCCCTTCTATCTCCTCCTATGGCAGCTGCAATACATTGTGTTATTTTGGGGGGTAAATCTAGGTGCGCCTCTCCTCACGTGGGGACTCTTCCCACTTCTAGGAAGGGGCTGGACTTGGACACTGTTACATTCTACAGTAGTCTCTCTCACTGTTTCCTATTCTCCTTTTCTTAGAAACCCCAAGTGATTTTATTAATGTGGGAGTGGAACAGACACTAAAAGTTATCCAGAATTTTTTTTGTGGTTATTTTTTTTTTTTTTTTTCCTCCCCAGCGTAAAACGTTCTGTGTAACCTCCATTAAATTTGGTACAAAACCACTCGCCAGGGCTGTGGTGTCAGAAAAATAAAATATATTGTTTCTTACAAAGATGAACTGTCTTTTTTATCCAATCCAGTTGTTTCCTATGTGCATCGAATGGCTGGCAAGATGACTATTTGCTCTTTCCTATGATCACAGATAGTCTGGTGGCTAGGTGGGGCAAGCTGTGGCAGCTCGTAAAAATCAAGTCTGTAGGAGCCACGTGCTCATTGCAAGGTGCTTCTGTTTGCTTACTCTTGAATGGAGCTTGGTTTTCCTTGGAGTGAGGCCTTACTTCTGAATGCCCTAGGGATGATGGTTACGATCTTTCCTTACTGGCAGTCAAAGATAACGCCTGCTGTTTCTATTGCTTTCTCTTGGCAAGCGCTTGTAGCTCTACAAGGTAGGTGGTTTCAGTTTTCCCAAAGCAGCAAAGTCCACCTGCTGAGCACTGGAGTCTTAGAGCTGTGCAGGGTGCTTGGGCTGTGTCCCCCTTGCCCCCTTCGCCCCTCAGGGGGCTTTGGATTGGGTAGCATCTCTGACTTCTGTCACTCGGAGGTTGAGATAGCAGGAAATGGATGAACTTAAATAACAAAGGTGAGAAAGAAGTTATCAGTGAGCAGATTTTTATCAAGATGGCCCTGCTGGGTAAATTATTGCTTTGCTGCAGTTGTCATCGATTGCTTCCTAATCCTGCCTTTTCACGCTTGCCTTCTGAGTTTCAGTGAGCAGGTTTTTGGGTTTTGTCTATGAGAAGCAAAGGACTGGATGCTAAACCAGGTCTGTGAGTTGAGCCCCACTGCTGGAGACAACTGGGATATATCAGATCTGTAGAGAAGGGAGCAGACCTCTGTAGCTCTCTGCTTGCCCTAGCACTGTGTATGGAACATGCAGTCTCTTCCTCTCACTTGTCCTTATTTGAAATTATTTAAATTAGTAGTTTCCTCAAAAAGCTGTCAATTTGTGTGAAACTTCACATGAGAATGAGCACCTTTAATATGCTTGTGTGTGAGGGTTTGTGAAAGTTGGCTGATGTTTAAAGGATGGAAAAAGAGTTTCTGTCCATGGCTGTTTTACCAAAGTTTAGTTGCTAGTGTTACAAAATGAATGAACCCACACACATCAGAAGGCACGCAGTCTTCAAAGCATTGTGTCGGCTGTTCCAAATTCACCTTTGTGCTGTCATGCAAATTTGAAATGATTTTGGGTGAGAATTACTCTTCTGACAACGTGTGGGATGTGTGTTGTGGTGCTTCCCTCTAACAAGACAAGTAGCGTGCCTGAAGCATGGGCTTGTCAAGATTTCAGACAGCTGACAATGACACAGTAAGTGTTATTCCTGTACAGTGGAGTTACCTTTTCTTTAAATGGTTGCACAGTTCCTTTTTCAGGATCTTGGAAATTGTCATAGTGCAACTTTTATAAACAGTTCTGCTGCTGCCATGTTTGGCTGTTTTACCATGTTGAACAAGGAGAACTCGACTGTCATGGTAATAAGCAGAATTCTTTATTTTTTTTCTTTAATACGTCTTCCCCATTCTTTCCTATACACGTTGAGGTATTTTGAGTAGCAGAGGATATGAAATGACTGCATCAAAGGCCCTTAGCAAGTGAAAAGATGCATTTTTAAGATGTTAGGTAATTAAAGCTCCTTCTGCGTCCAACTTCAAATGTTGGCATTTGGTGTCTTAACAAGATTTTCCTGCAGAAAATGCAAGAGACTTGGCTTCTCCTGCATCACATAGGTCCCCTTAACCTCAGTGGCATTCCCAGCTACGAGATTCAAAGGCTTCAGCTGGATCCAGTTAGAAAAAAAAAATAAATTGGTAGATATGGACTGAGCTGCCCTGTTTTGTTCTGATCTCACTTTTTCCCCTTCTCAGCTCTCAAATGCAAAAGCTTTCTAGCTGCCAGCCTTGCATATTCACCTTAGGATGTAAGTTCAGGCTCTGCTCTCTCCTGCTTATTTTTAATAGTAGCTATGACTCAGCTCTGGTAGTCATGGTGCACTTGAAGAAGGATAATGGGGCTGCCATTTTTAGTTCCTCTCCTCCATCGATTTTTTTTCTTCTTCTTCTTCTTCTTTTTTTTAATTTCCAAATCCTCCTCCTCTACCTTTTGTTTGAAAGAATGAAATAGACTTTATTCATACATGCTTGGCTGCTCTTCCTCTCTAGTAGCATGGGAGGAAACAGTCTGCTGTTCAAATTATCTCATCCCAGATGGCTGCGCAGCCGGAGCGCAGAGACTTAAAAGGTAAACCCAGCAGATGGTGAACTTCTGAAACGCAAAGTAATGTGCCTGCTAAATCAAAAGTTTAAAATGTTTTAAATCTGTTTGTTTTAAAGTAGTAGACTGTTGTGAACAGGTCACCTGTGAAGTACGCTGGCGGTTTTAAGCACTGCCCAAATGAATTTGAGCTTTGTGCATGTATTGTGGGTTAGCTAAGCCACCAAAGGGTGTTACAAGCAACGTTCTAGACCAACTGGCTTAGTACCAACCTCCTAGTGGTACCTAATGGGTAATGTTTCAGAAAACAGACCAATGTGTGGAGATCTTCTTCAGTGTTGGTTGGGATTTGAGTACTGGCTGTGCTTCTGGTATGTTGCACGGGTCCTGACTTGGGGTAGATGTGAGAAACTGACCCCTCCTAAGGAGGGTAAGAGGGTGCTTCACTGTATTGATTAGGTAGTAATCCTAAAGCTATCCCAAGATGTAAGTTTTGTGTTATGTAGCTTGTGTCATCATCCTGATGAGGTGACCTCTCACTGAAAGATTTTCCTATTCTGAAGCAGTCCATGTAGTTTCCAATTATTTCTGTTAATGCTCTTTGTTGTGATAGATGAGTAACACTGAGCTTTATTGTGTTAGTCATGTTTAAGATTAAAGCACATTATCTAGAGTGGATTTTTTTTTTCAGGCCTTAAACTCCCAACTCAAACTGCTAGCTTTATTACGTTGGATTCGTTGACAAATATAGAATCCTGGAATCATTAACGTTGGAAGGACCTCTACAGTCATCCAGTCCAGCCATCGATACATCACCACCATACCACTAAACCACGTCACTCAAAGTATATTAAGCTCAATATCCCCTTGATCTTCATGTTCAGCCAGTAAGTCTTCAGTGCTTGTGGTCCTTCACTGAGCGATGTGGGTCCTCTCAACTTATTGCATAACCACGCTTTACACTCCTGGTTACTTTTGTTTGAGGCAGAGTGTGAGGCAGAAAAGCAGTGCTGTTTTGTTTGAGATGCTACAAATCTTGAGAGCAGCTCAAGTTCATGAGGGAACCTGAGGCTGAACTCCGTTAGTTCACTTCAGCAGCACTCCTACTAACAGCCTTGGGGTAAGAAAGTTTCAGATTTTTTTTGTGTCCCATTAGTTTGGATTTGTCTTTTCTGGTTCTTGTGGAAAGTAGGTATTCCATATAGATGCATTGGTTCTGGAGGGAACTTATCTCTCTCTCTCTCTCTCTCTCTCTCTCTCTCTCTGCATCTTCTTTATACACACACACACACACACACACACACACACACATATATACAATTTTACTATTTTTATTTATGTATTCATTTTCTCAGAAATGCCTCAGCTCTTCTGCAGTTTGGCACTTGCTAGCTGTTTCCTGTGATCTTTGAACCCTTCCACTGTCCCATCAATCCCACTTCCAAAATCAGTATTTAAACGTGCCTCCTTCCATGACAACTTTGGAGATGTTTGATGGGCTTTAGCCAATGTGCTGTCCAAGCAACTCTGTTCCAAGGAGAAGGGTAAGGCAGAGTTTGGTGCAGAGGGTGGTGCAGAATCTATGAGACAAGTATGAATAACCTGTTCAGAGGTTCCTTCCTAGCTGCTGCCAAGATGTTTGCTTGTTTTTCTAAAGTCCTTTGCTGTTGTAATAATGTATTTCAGTACATTTCAGTATGTTTTCCTGCCTAGAGCAATTAGATTATTTTAATAGTGTGAATGCAATGCCCTCTAACAGTCATAGGAGCACTAGAATGGCTTGTGCTGCTGAATTCTGTTGATCTTGAGTGTGTTGCAGTTTCTGAGTGTTGCAACTGCATTTGCCACTTGATTTTGCTGGGATATGCTCTTGGCTCTTGTTTCAGAATATGCATGAATTCCTGCTTTGCTTACCATCACAGCTCAAGCCTCCAGCAATGTTCCTTAATATCCCCCTTCTGAAGCAGTCCCTGTCTTGCAAATGGCTTCCAACTGTACACCTCGTGTTTCAGTCACCACTCTCCATATGCTTCATACCATGCCTACGAGAGAGCTTGATTAGAGCGGATCATGATGTTCTTAAGCAAGGCCATTGATTTTTATATAACAGTATTATGGTTTTAGGCTGTATAAAGAGCTCAGTGGAAAATAGCAATGTTTTGTTTGCTTTTTTGACAGCTTCTAACAGCAGTTCAGTGAGACCTCCAGCAATGTATTTAATAGTCAAGTCATTCTGTTCATTGTGCACGGTGTCAACAAGTAACTATAGTGGGAGTAGCCTAAGGAAAGAGTGGCATTAAATCATCCACCCCACTCTTCCTGGGAGAAGGTACCCAAATGCCTGCAGTCACCTATCTGCCAGTGGTTCACTTTTAACATTGCTGCAGTCTAAGTGAGAAGGAGTATTGCAGAACCAGTGCTGCAGCACCACTTCAATAACTGGTCCCCCTGTTTTAGGCTTTCCATATCTCCAAAAAAGTAGGATCCAAGTTTTATTTACTGAGAGAGAAATTTTGGCAACATAGTGGTCCTTGTACTGTCCTTTAGGAAAAACTGTCAGCATCACAGCTAGAAATACTTCTGTTGGCTATGCTGGTAATGCTCCTTTTTTAGCAAGTGCATCGTACGAGGGCCGCTCCAAAAATAATGCCTTCTGTTGTGTTATGATATTAGAGGTGGATGTTGGTGATGTGGCAGCAAAGGTTGAACCTTCCCATCAATACTCCGTTACATTTTGTTGCTGCAGAACAGATGGTAGCAGAGGGGCAGTCTTACAAAATGGCATCTGATGTGGAAGTGTAGATGAAACAAAGGTGTGTCATTAAATTCCTTCATGTGGAAAAAATGGCACCTATAGACATTCATCAATGCTTGCTGAATGTTTATGGAGGCAAACCAGTGGATGTGAGCACAGTGAGGTGGTGGATGGTGCGTTTCAGCAGTGGTGACAGTGACATGAAAGACAAGCCATACTCCAGACAGCCGTGCATAGCTGTCACACCATGAAATGAAGAGCATCTCAATCAGCTCATCCATATGAATCAGCAGATTATGACCAGGCAACTCTGGGCAGAGCTGAGTGTTGGCTTAAATGCATTGGAAACAATAGTGCCAGTGTTGGAATATAAAAAATTTGCAGCAGGTGGGTCCCACAAATTCTCACACAGGAACAGAAAGAACACCATATGTAAGTTTGTCAGGACCTGTTGAACCAATATGAGGCTGAAAGTGACAGTTTCATGGATTGCATCATTATTGGTCATGAGACGTGGTGTCACCACTATGAGCTGAAGTCGAAACAGCAGTCCGTGGAATGGCAACTGTAAACTCTCCATCAAAGAAAAAGCTAAAGATGCAGCTCTCGGTGGCTATGGTGATGTGTGCTATCTTTTGGTACAGGAAAGGGGCGGATTTCCTGGAACCCTGAGTAACCATCCAATCTGACATCTGTATTGTGATGCTGACTAAGCTGAAAGCTCTTGATTTCCTGAGTCAGGCCAGAGAAGAGGACAACTTTTCTGTTGCAATATGATAATTCCAAGTTGGAGGGCAATCTTGGCTGGACCGTTCTACCACATCTCCCATATAGTATGGATTTGGTGCCTCCTGACATCCAGCTGTTCGGGCCAGTGACTGCATGGGCAACATTTTCCTAGCCACAACATCATGATGGCAGCTGTGAAACACCGGGTCACCTCCTCTGCTGTAGATTTCTATGAGTGTGGTATGTTGGCTTTTGTTCATTGTTGGTGAAAATGCATAGCTAATGGTGGCGACTCTTGAGAAAGTGTTTTGTGGCTGAGGATTTGCTCTAACAAATAGTGTCATTATACTCCTTGTAGATATTGTAGTTTCCATGGAAAAAAAAAGTTGGAGGCATTACTTTTGGAGTGGCTTACATAGCTGCAACACTGCCCAAAGCTGAAGGCAGTAGCAGCTCCACAGACTTCTTTGTTTAAAGTGTATTTAACCAAGGTTCACCAAGAGTGCCTGTTCTTGTTCTTGGCCCACTGTGTTTGTTTTGCATGTTCACTGCAGAATTTCTATAATTATAGGATTGCAAGGAAGAGCTCAGGAGACTTACTGTCCCTTTGGAGAGGTTTTGTGTGCACAAAAGTGCACTTGAGAAGATGAGGTAGCTAATGCTATGTGATTTGGGAGGTTCGTTTATCTGCAACGTGACAAGAAAGGGAAAGGCACAGGAGCTTCTGCAGCTCTTAATTCTGGTAGCACAAAGCAAGCTGGGCTTCATCTCACAGTCCCAGCATATGACGAGCTGTTATGCTTTCATGCATTCCTACAGCTGCAGGGCAGTTCAAATAGGGCTCTTCTCTCCCTTGCTGTTTTTGGACTCTTGCTGCCTTTGTATGGCTGTCTCAGAAGTGAACTTGAGCCATTTTGTTATTCAGCTTCCTTCCTCTTGCTGCTAACGGTGAAAAGTGACACTGTGCCACCCTGTGTCTGTCAGAAAAACTTCCCTTGTCTAAAATAGCTTTGCAATATGGAAAGTTGGCTGGCAAGAATACAAATAGTCAAGGATTCTGATGATATCAAACTATTTAATTTAAGACAACTGTTTACAAGTCACTTTGCTGATTCCCCTCTGTTTGAGAGCACAGGTTATTGTATTCCTCTGGACTGATTGAGTACTGTGAAAGAACTTTTAGAAATTCTTCTAGTGGGCAGAGGCCTGCTCTGCATCCCTTCACCACTTGCTCCTGCAAAGGCAAAGAGACAAAATCATAGATCTCATGCACTGTTAGCGTCGTCATTAATCCAAATGCATTCTGCAGCAGGGAAATAAACTGGTTGAAGCAAGTCCTTTGTGTGAGGTTGCATCAGATCAATGGTCAGCTCAATAGAAAAGATACCTTGGCTACTATGGATGTGCTTTTTGAGTCTTACTCTGTTATTTAGCTTGACAGCATGCTCAAAACAAATCTTATTTCATGGCCTTACACAGATGTAGAGCAAAACCAAAAGCTCAGGATTTGTAAGGTGGGCTTCCTATGGGATCTTACCTCTCCGTGGTAAGACACGCGAATGAACCACTCTTTGGACTGCCGGTGCTGATACAGTTCAAGGGTCACATCTGCAGCATAAGGGGGCCACTTGTGATCAAAGGTGCCCAGGGCCATCAGGAGAGGAATAAGGGTAACATCATGAGAAGCATACAGAATGAGCTTTCTGATAATTAAAAAAAAAAAAAAAGAGAAAAAAAATCATCCTAAATGATTAGCTGTCTTTCTCCATGGATAATCAGTATCGCTTATGCTTTTTCTAGCAGACAAGCACTCATTCTCTCTACCCACCCCCTGAACATCCTTCTGAACCAGTTTTTCACACTGACAGCAAGTCAGAATTTAGGATTAGAGGGAGAAATCTGCCCTGTACCTGGCCTTTTCAGCTGGAGATGAGGGATCTGCTGCTTCTGTAATGTTCTTCTGTAAGGTATTGAAAAGGAGACCAACACTCATCTGAAGAACTTCTCTACAAAAGAAGCAGAAATAAATCTACTAACTTTTTAACCTTCTAATTACTTAATTTCAAATGAACACTTGTAAACCTGCTTTTCTCTTACAAACTGATAATGTGTATTGAATGCAGCTAAGAACTAGCGAATGTGATCCCTACAGTTATGTTTTCTTTCAGCAGTTGCTTACTCACCGCAGAGATTCCAATGTGATTGCAGGAAAGGGAGAAATGCTCACAAGATGTGGTATGCTAAAAGGAAGACCCAGAAACTCCTTGATGTTCTCTATCCTATTTTGTTTCCCTATCTTGTGATTCTGGAAGCATAGATTTTACTAGGGAAGATGACAGTAGCTGACTCTAAAAGAACAACTGAATTGTTGGGCGCCTTTGGGAGTAGGAATAAGAAGAAAGCTACTGCTTTTTTTTCTTTCTTTTTTAGTATTGTTGTCTCCGTAGCAGAGAGGAGCTCTTCAGATGACTTCTGTTGTGAAGAAACTGTCTAATTAATTAATACCTAAGTGGAAATGGGAGTATGACTGTGATTGTGGCTGTACTGGGTATTATAGAATTGGGAGAAAACTCATTCAATACTTGAGATCTCTAATACAAGATAAGGAAAAGGCTAAGGCCAAGTGCCCTCCCAGAGAAGGCAGCCCTATGCCATCATCTGAGAAGAGCAGATGACTGTGGCAGCTGTGACGGATTCTGGAAAGCTGCTGCTAGGTTAGCAACTTCACCACCTTTACAAATGACTGTGAAGCAAGTAATTAATTGCATGTAGCAACAGGTCTTTTGCAAGTTGTTACATGTGTAGAGCTGGCATTACCTTCTCCCCTAGCATCAACACTTTGCAGCCCAGCTGTGCAGGCGCCACCTCTGGAATAAATGTACCTGGTTGGAATTCAAATCATACTCGTGTGTCTGCAAGGACAGCCTTGCCTTGTGCAGCCTCAGCACCCAGGCTTGAAGCATTTCCCATTCTCTTCTGCTTTTGCTAGTAACACAGGTTCACTGATGCCACTTTATCAACTGAACCATTCACTGCTTACCAGTGGCTTGCTCCTGTTCCCTGGACATTAATTCCTCCACGGCTGCCAGCAAAACAGGACCTAAATACACATCTTGCCTCCTCAGTATGGGCTCCTTTGTCCTAGATCATATTCCTGACTTGAGGCACTGAACTTGGTGTTGGGATGGCTGAGGCACAGACCTGATGAAAGGACAACAACCTCTGATAGGGAAACTGAGCAAACTGGAAAGTACTCTTCCTGTCTGCCACTGTAAGCTGGTACAGCTCATCCAACCTGGGGAACCTCAAACAAAGGCTAAGGCTGGAGGCACGAACAGAAGCTATCACCTTGAACCGTCTTCCAGAACGAAAAGCACTGACTCTACGCATCGACGCTCGATAGTCTGCTGAAAGTCTTTCAGCACGGGGCAGCTTGGCAAACCGTGCACCTGGAAGGAAAGAAGGCAGCATAAGAACAGGTTTGCTCTTTTCCACGCCAATGCTGAATCCACATAAATGATCACCTTCAGAAAACAGCTGTTTGTATCACAGCATTTGTACTACTGTGCATGCTACAATTCTCACGAGGTGTTCTAGTATGTTTTTTAAACACAGAGACTTGTTCTATGTACCAGAAGATTGGATGTCTTTTCTTGATGCTAGATGAAGAGAGCATAACAGGCCTTGAGCTAGTCAACTCGCAGCAAGACCACCAAGTCTAATTACCAATTACCAGTTGCTCCAGCAAAAAAGGTGTATTAAGAAGAGACACAAACATGCCCAGCTCTCTTCCAGAAGCAGAGACAATCTGGCTCAGATGTAGTATGCTGGAACCAGAATTAAGATGATCTTGTTAGGTGCTGACTATCAAAAAAAGGGACAACGCTGTGCAGTGGGGTAAACAAGGACCAACCACACTCTTAGATCTACTGCATTATGCTAGAAAAAAAATACTGGATTTCAAGGTAAGAACATGAACATGGGAGATGCATCTAGAAGAAAGCTGACTCCGTTATCTTTTCAGAAAGACCAAACTGTTTCTACTAACTTCCTGAATTGCATAAAGAGGTACTGGGATACCCAATAGTATCAGTGAGAGTTGGCACCTCTATTATCTTCTCCATATGCCTGGGGTCAGGAAAAAAAAAGAAAAAGATTGTTTCTTTATACGACAATGCAACAGATCACCAGCTCACCTGCTCAGCATTAATGTTATCAAGGAGGAGAAAAAAATCCACAGACTCATCACCATCAACACCCATCTTCTTCTTAATTGTTTTTAAGTCCTCAGAGATAGCTGGCTGTAGCTGAGCATCCTTCAGCTTCTGCCTGTCAGAGAATTGGGGAAAAAAAACAAACAAATAAGCCAAAAGCTGTTCACACATCAGGCTTTTTATCTCTCAGTTTTTTTGTAACTCCCAGTCCAGTGGAGCTGTGTCCTATCAGTAAGGGGTAGATGCACCAGAGGAGACTGAAGAATTCCTGATGATGGGAGTCTCAGAGGCAGAGAGGACAGACACAATGTCAGCAGTTGGCATCTGCTCTCACAGATGAGATGAAAATTTAGATGAAATGTTAACATCTCCTGCAGGAGGTTCCCATAAGCAAAGGCTGTGTATCATCAGTTAACAGATCTCATCATACCAGAAGATTGCGAGCCTATTATCTCTGGGGAACAGCCTTTAACTACCTCATGGAAGGAAAAAAAGGTAGAAGCTTTGAACAGATTTATTCACGCTGTGGGAGAAGAGAAATACCTAGAAAATCACTGGCAGCTTCAATTCTCCTCTCACTCTGCTAGAACCCACACGCCTCATTACATTGGTTTGAGCTATATTTTTAACTATTGGCGCTGACTATACTTGAAGCTAAGTATACTGCAGATTTTTGTCTCTTACCCTTGTCTGCTGGGGGAGAGATTGGAAAGTTTGGTGCTTTTTTTATTGTTTGCCTTTTTCTTTTTTTTTTCCTTTTTCCCCCCAGAAACATCTGTATTTTCTGCTTGAAATCAAAGGCACTAGAAGTTCTGGCATGGGGGACCTCTGGGCTGGGTCACTACTTCTTAATGCAGCTTAAAAAATCCACCTTGACGTGGTTGCAAAATGTGCAGTTAGTGAGATGGGGGAAAGAATGGGAGGATTTACACCTTACTCTCCTTTTGCACTGCTGGTATTACTAGCTGAGTCTGAATATACTTTGGCTTTTCTGAATAGCTTCAGTGGATTTTCACCTCACCACTGTCATGAACAACCTGTTGTCTGTCGTGTTGAGTGTTATACAATAAGCTTTTGCAAGTGAATTCTGAAAACCCTTAAGATATCCTGGGACAAAAATATGCTAATATACAATCCAACCAAATGGTGATATATTTGCCTTGTTGTCTGGTTTCCACCCCATGCCCAACCTGACATAAACATTTATGGAATACTTGATTCTGCAAACATGAGTGTTCTTTTTATGTAGGATGTTTCTTATTTTAATTCAATAGTTTTTGTTCAACGTGTCAAGGTGGAGTATATTTCAGTTTCTTGAAGGTATAAATGTGGCAGGAGAAGATTAATTTAAAAGGAGGCCCAGTGTGTTCGCACGTTAAAGTGTGTTAAAGGATGCAGATGACATTAATTCTGTCCCACAGCAATGCCACAGAACACATTAGCTGGTAATGAGTGTTTGCTAGTTGCAGGCTAAATTCAATTGGTCTTTCAAAAAAAAAGAAAGTCTGGGTTTTTTTGTTTTGTTCTGGTGCTACTGCTTCATACATGACTGTGCTCACCTCATGTTTTAAACAGTTAGCTACGCATTCCCAATGGGCAGCAGGAAATGGAAAGAAAACATGCTGTTTTAAATTACTGTTGCTGAAATGAAACTGCAGTGAAATCATATGGGAGGGAGGTATGGCTGGCAATTACCTGGTCAAGCACTTCAGGCGCTGGCAGTTGTAGTAATTGGGGTAGAGGATTTCTGAGCTTGCTTCATCAGTGACAATGACAACAGGTCCTATGGAATAAGAAGGAAGACTGTGTGATTGCTAGTGTATGTGTCTTCAGACTCCTTTAATCACTCCCGCAGCCTCTGTGTTCAAGCCTACTCTTGTCAACTAGCAGTTCCCACTGAGCTATCACTAGCAATGCAATCTCCTGTGCTTGCTACTGCTCACTCAGCATTTATTTCCATAGTGCTATCTGCTGTGTACCTTGTAATATCTCCTAGTTGCATGTTCACTTTTTTTTTTTTTTCTTCTTTTTTAGTGTTTGTTTGCATGTGTCAAAAATTAGTTTCTGTGTCATGAAGCGTACTGATCTCTGGCCAGGTCACTTTTGTTATTTGTTCCTGGAACTCAATACAGAGGGAGCAGAGGTGAGATCTTAAAAATCCAGAGTGTATTTCTAGGACATACAGGTTAGTTGTCAACTATCAAGACACAGCTGAAAGTTACTCCAGATACTGAACTTGCAAAGGATCTTGGTACTCCTACTGCTGAGAGACTCTGAGCCTCAAAGTTTTTTCAGATGTGACAGTGCATCTTATAAACACTGGACCTGGAACTCTTTGCTTTCTTGATTCTGAAGTGCAGTTAATGCAAACCTCCTCAGTAGGTCTGAAATTGCAGCATTGATGGCAACAGATCCAAGCACCAGCAGTAAGCTACACAAAGAAAGGGAGGCAAGTGACAAATCGATAAAGAAAGTACCAAACAGAGATTGGGGAAAAGGGCCAGGGGCAAAGAGCTTACGAAGCAACAAGCAGGAGCCAGGGAGAGTCGGGAAGTGAGAGGTGTGTGCATCTAGGAAGACTGATAAAAGGAAAGGTACTGGTCAGAAGTCTCCCTAACCTTCTTTTTGCTGTTGGTACAGCCCAGCTAGTAGGCATCGCGTAGATTCCAGGTTCCGGAAAATATTAGTGGAACGGATACTGAAAGAGAGAAAGCAGCGTGTGAGGTAGCACTTTCTCCTTCACGGGGCTGGAGCTGCAACCGGGGAGGATTTGCCGGAACTGAGGATTCAGCTTTCATCACAGCTTTAGAAACCTGTGCTTGGGTTTCATCTCACCCTGCTATACATACCTTAAAATACAGACACCTCTATCTTAAGTGCCATGTAACTTCCCTTCGAAGATGGTGGAGATGAAAAATGGCCACTTATCTGTAATTTTATCTCCCAGCACTAATGATGCAAGCAGCAGCTATGTGCTTCATCTCAACGAACTTTAGACTGTGCCCCAGAAACACCTGTTTCTCTTCACTCACCATAAAAGCGTGTAACGCCATTGCCCGTGGCTAACCCTAAGTGCGATGAATTTGTCCCTCGCATCCCTGCTAGGAACTGGGATGCTTTGTGTTCTGAGGGAGGTCTCACACGAGGCTCAGCGGAAAGTTTCCCTAGCACAGAGGTACTTGCAAGCAAAGGAAAGTCCAGAAAGGTACTAAGAAACTCACAAGACCTCAGAAGGCTTAAATGCTGGTGAGAGAAAGCTGGCTTCCTCTATGTAGCTCCTCCTCAGCCTTTCCCCCAGGGCAAACATCTGCTGCATCCCAACAGCGGTCAGCTGTCCGGCCAGCGCACCACCCTGCGCACAAAGAAGAGGAAGGGTCTCGCTGGAACATGCCAATAATACAGCAGTCTGCAGAGGGAATCCTGGAAGAGAGCCTCACCTTGAAAGTGGTTTTCCTGTAGCGTTCCTCATAGGGCGAGGGAGGCTGCGGGCCGCCACGGAGGTCGGTCACCGTGTAGTCCAGCTTGGTGTGAGCGGGCACCTCCAACAGACTGGGCGGCCACTCCACCTGCTTCGAAACAAACTGCTTCAGGGGAGCATGAGGGTTTCCAAGGGTCCTAAGCCAGCGCTGGACATCAATGCCCGTTGCCCGGCCGCTAACGCAGCGCAGTGCCGAACCGAGCCTTCGTTCTGCTGCCGGCCGCCTAATCTCAGCTAACTCCCGACTACATCACGTTTCTCCCAGCTCAAAGAAGCGAACCGGCGCCTACAGCCGCCGCCCCAAGCCTCCTCACCGGCGAAGCCCCCGGGACGGGCCGCAGCGGAGTGCGGGCCCCGTGCCGGAACACCACTTGCACCAGCCGCAGCTCCAGCTCCCGTCGCTCCCCGCCCGCAGGGCCCTGCGCCGCCGCCGCCGCCCGCCGCCGCTGCGTCCACGCGGCCAGGCCGCCCAGCAAGCCCAGCCGCCAGCCCCAACCCATGGCGGCGGCACTGCCGGCACCGGACGGCTGGGGACGCGGAGGACGTCGGGAAGGAGAGTCCCCCGCGGGCAGCGCCCAGTAGGCGGGCGCGGCAGAGGACTACGGCTCCCAGCGGGCACCGCGCCGCGCCGCCGGGAAACCGCTGTGCGCCTGCGTGGCTGCGGACTATAGCTCCCAGCGGGCACCGCTGTGTGCGGACGCAGGGAGGGGCGCGTGGGGAGGTTCCTGTCCCGCCTCAGGGGATGATGCGTGAGTTTGGGGTGGGCGGTAAATGGCTGTCCGGTGCTCCGTGGTTTGAGGTGGGGTTTGTAGGCTGAATAAGAGTGGCTGAAATCGTCCACTTGGCAGGCTCAGGGTTTCCTGCTTCAAGGATAGCCTGCTGGAACAGGTTGCCCAAGGAGGCTGTGGATGCCCCATCCCTGGAGGCATTCAAGGCCAGGCTGGATGTGGCTCTGGGCAGCCTGGTCTGCTGGTTGGCGACCCTGCACATAGCAGGGGGGTTGAAACTAGGTGATCATTGTGGTTCTTTTCAACTCAGACCATTCTATGATTCTACTGGAGAATCATGTATGAGCCCTGTTCAACACAGCAGCTCAGTTCTTGCTAGATTTTAAAGGCCGGTACCCTCAAACAATCCTGCAGTAGGAATTGTATGTTACAGATGGGAACTTGAGGTAATGGTGGATTAATGTTCACCCTTATTTTGATGGGAAGATACAAGCATAGGAACCAGGTCGCCTGGGCATCACTTCTGAGGGAGCCTTTCTCAGACCTCTGTAGGAGCAGAACCCAGAGCTGATGCAAACAGAGCTTGTGGGGCTTCCGGTTGGCAGGGTAGTGGCAAGAGAAGAGCAGTGCAGCTGCTGTGTGCAGGGAATAGTCCAGGGCAATAAGAGAGGATAGCAACATGCACAGTGGGCAGAGACAGCAGGTGATGCGGGCAGTGAGGCACAGCCACCTGCACCTCTATCCTGTGCAGGTAGGGGAATTTGGTGATCTTGGTGTCTTAAAGCAGTGCTGTTCCTACATGGCTGCCTGAATTTTCTGAGTAGGGATGTTCAAAACAGAGTCATGGCTATAGCAGAGAGGAAAAGACTATTGCAGGAGCTAATCAAATAACAGATCAAGAGAAATTAAGCCTCAGTGTGTGGGGTGTGAAGGAAACAAAGATGCTGAATGGAGAGGGAATAGGAAAATGTAGTTAAGCTACAGGGAACGGGGAAAGAGGGGGAGAGAGAGACATGGTGTGATATAAGTGAGCAGAGGTGGAGGGAAGGAAGAGGCTGGCAGCGCACTGATTTGCATTTCCATTCGAATGTTACTCTGGAAGAAAATCCCAGCCTCTGTGAAGCTGTGAGGGACTGAGACTGCAGTCCCTCCTGGGGGGATTTGGCTGCTCCTGAGCAACGTTACTGTAGAGATGTATTTTAGAATATATCATGCCACAGCAGGTGTGTGCAATTAGAGGAGAGCTCTCTGAAACAGCAGGCGGCTGTCAATTTTTTAGCAAGTGGTGTTGCCCATTTTTGCTTTGTCCAACTGTGTAGTTATTCTAAGATGTGTCTTCTTTACGCAACTGTTTTCTGAGGATCTGTTATTTTCACCCTTCTGTAGTGTTTTGCAACTAGATAAGGAGCAGGAGGCTATTCCAATGGCCGTTGTGAGTAAACTGTTTCACTGAGGATAGTTAATGAACCCTAACAAATAACCAAGTTTCAGGAACTCTTTCTCCTACAAGCAGAGCACAGATTTTCTCCTGGCTGGAATTTAACCAATTTACAATGATTACTACCTTGGCAAAGTATTACTATTCTTATCAATCATTTACCTTTTCATAATATTCCACAAACATATCATGCCTCAGAGCACTCCTGTATGGTAAACTTGCAGTTACGTGCTCATTTTCTTGAAAAGAAAACTGATTCACAGTGAGTTTCATAGTTTGACCAAACCACACAGTCATTATGTGCTAAGATATGCCCGCTGTTGTTTACTTGAGTCCTGTCACGATCAGATTTTTATTCCACAATGCTCTTTGAAATTAGTGTTTAAAAAGCCCCTTGATTAAACTAGTTAGCCTGACACGTTTGAGTGTTGTATTGTTTCTTGGACTACCCGGATGCCTTCTCCCTGAACAAATGGCTATAGCTGTTTGTAGTGTAAATTAGAGATACCATAAAATGCCCGCACAGTAGGAATGCAAGCAGAATTTGGGTGCCCCTAAGGTAGATACACTTTTCTGGGGTAGGAAGAAGCAGAAAATAGGCTCGTATTGCCTCTGGTTTCTTTGCTTCTATTCTGAATGCCTTTTGCTTAGCGAAGGGAGTGAGCTCCCAGCAGGTGTGTGCAGCCACAGGCTGCAGCTGTGCTGGGAAGTGGGCAGTGCAGCTGGCTGCCGCAGGAGGGTGACACAGCCAGGCTGACATCAGTGTCCAAAGCCAACCGTGAGCAGCTAATGCCCAGCGTGGTGTCTCCCTGCCCCAGTCTTGTGGAGCACAGAGTATCTGTGTGAGGTAAAAATGGTTCAGTCTTACTGTGGGTGTTCTACTATATGACTTCTCCCACAAAAAGTGTTCCTATGGCTGGGTTTCCAATTGATTACAAAGTGCTGCTTTTCACTCTGGTCTATGACTGCCCAAATCTCAGATGTAACTGCCTTGCGGTGCGAGCAGTACTCGTGCAGAATCACAGACCTCTTTACACTGCCACCAAAAGAGCCCTCACCTTTCTCAACTGTAGTGCTAATGGTGCTGTCTCTGTCCTGCAGCAATTAATGACCACAGTGACTATAATAAACTAGTCAGTCTGGGCACGTAAGCTGTATAGCAGTCAGAAAGAGTGGAAATTTATTTATAAATTGTTTGAGTATGCTGCACTGCTTCCTGTGGAGCTACGTCACTCTTGTCTCTGCTCCAGTCTGTCTGTTGTTGTAAACCTTCAGCCAGCTGCTCTGTGAGCAAGGCATCCCGGGAAATGGAAAGAATGTTTCCACTCTTCATTTCGGTGACCCTTTGGGGTGGAATTGGCAAAAAATAAACTCCTAAATGCCACCAGACCAAGCACCATTCATAGTACAGCGTGTGGATCTATGCATCTCATCTCTTTCCCTGCAGGCTTTCACAACATCAGTTTATTTTCCTTGTTTTGGTAAAATTGTGTGTATTGATACTTACGTGTCATTTCTGAATTTTTGGGGTCTGTGAGACACAACCCTGGAAGCTGGAGCTGTGGCATCCAGAGTCAGCATCAGGAGGACATTTTCAGAGATTTTTTTTTTTCTGGATTTCAGAAACAGCATATCAGATGGTTGGTTGTTCTGTGTGCCCTTTGCTGGGGACCACGTTATTTTCCCTTTTTTTTTTTTTCCTTTTAAATTACAGGATTGGGCATTCGGTCCCCGTGAGTGGTAGAAGCAGGCCGAATGCTGGGTGGCATGCTGGTTGTGTAGCTGTTCATCCCCTGTCCTAGTGTGAAAGATACACTCTTTGCCTTCTGTTTTTCTTTTGTTCAAGCTCTGTCATCCTAACCTGCATGGCCTACAGCCATCTGCTGCATTTGGTCATCTGTGGGATTATGCACCTCTCTGAAATAACAGTGAGCCAGTTTTCTTGTCAGGTGTAGGTGTTTTTTTTCCATGGAAGATAAAGACTTAGATAAGGAGGAACCTCTAGAAGCAAGGTGGGTGAGCTGTTCCAGCCTCACAGGGTGAACTCTCAGTGCCTTAATTGTAGAGCTGCCCTAGATGTGGTCGGAGTGCTGCTGAGCTCTCACTGCTGCTCAGATGCAGTGCCCCGAGGTGTGGTGCTTTGATACCGTGGCAGATGTGCTTCCCCATGGAAGCATTTAAATGTTTGGCACTTTTAATCTTTACCATCTCCTTTGCTTTTTGTGCACATATATTACATCAAACAGGTTGGGATGAAATGAAATTAAAGGAGATAATGCAAGAGTAAGTCATTCCAGTTACTCTCTTCTAATCAGCCAGGAAAGAGGGGCTACAAAAAGATCATTTTGCACCTTAATGTACGTTTCTAGTTCGTTGAGCTGTTTCTTTCATTATGCTTTCATACTCATTCAGAAGTGCCCAAACCGTGCGATTTGTGTGCCTTCTTCCTCCTGCGGGATGGGGAGACATAACTGAAACCTGGGGTGAAATGTGTTCCTTTTGTATGGCTGCAGGCTTAAGTTAAGTTTTGAGACTCAAGGGCAGCTTCTTACCTGCTTTGCCTTCACTGCTGAGTTGCAACGTTCAGTCATCCAGTTTGGTCGTTTGAATCCCTTTAGGTTGCCCATAGTACTCCAGTCTTTTTTCTTTTAGTATATACTTTTTGTTATTTGAGGATGGGGACCAGACCAAGTGGTGGGGAGCTACAGGAGAGGACATAAAGCTCGTCTTGGGGAGCCATGCTATTTACATTCACGACGTTTCTGGCCCCACCAGCTGTTCTGTGTGCGTTATTTTCAGAAGGGCAATAATCCGCGGGAGGTCAGTAGGGTGGAATTGTGCAAATACAGTGGGTGAAGGAGATCAAAACGCTTGGAAGTCCTCAGGCCTAGTCATGACAGGGAGTCGGGATCCCTGATGGTTATGGCTTATGGACTGAGAGAATCGAAGGAGAGCTCTGGCTGTGCTGCTTGCATGACTAGAAGGGCTGTCTAGCTGGGTGTGTGCTAACTGTTTTCAAGAGTCATCTGTGTTTACACCTGTTATTTTTTGAACAATAATATATATGTGTGTGTGTGTATATTGCTGCATTTCTGCACTTATTTTTAGCCCTTTCTAAAAAACCCCGACAGGTTTGAAAGATGTTGTGGATTCTAAGTGGTGCCTGGCGGCATTGCTTGCATTGACGGTTGTCAGAATTTTCCATGATAAATCTCTGCTTTGAAAGGCTTATAACTCATCCTTCTATTCTTGGTCCTGCAGCAATCATATCCTGGGAAAATAATCCTTTTTTTAAACTGTGTTTTTTCCCACAGGTTTGTGAAAATCATTCTTG